CCACATCTTCAGAACTGGATCTTCAGGTCAGCAAAACTCATTAGAAAACAACGTCAAATACAATCAAACCACCGTGTGCTGGAGAGTTTCCACAAACTTCAAATGGAACAGTTTGTCGTGCTCTAGTTATTCGAGACAAGTGACGTGCTGATATAAGCAATTGTCACAATCCTGCACGTTTCAAAAGACGAAACACAGGATCAACTAAACATAAAACCAACATACGGCTCCAGTAAGTAAACAATTCAGGACTTTAGTCGTTCAATGAAAACTGAACTCAGAAAGTTGTCTGCGTTCGCTCATTAAAACGCTTCTCACGCGCTACTCACTTTTGACTTCAGTCACGACTCCGCTTAAACAAATCCTCTTTTTTAAAAAAAAAAAACTCTTTATTCTGGATATTAAAGAGGTCATATGATGCGATTTCTGTTTTTCCTTTCTCTTTGGAGCGTTACAAGCTCTTGGTGCATAAAGAAGATCTGTAAAGTTGCAAAGACTAAAGTCTCAAATCCAAAGAGATATTCTTTATAAAAGTTAAGAGTCAACCACACCTAAAACGGCTCTGTTCTAACACGCCCCCACATGTCTATGTCACGATGTGGGAAGTTTTGCATAAAGCCGGCCAAATGTTCACGCAAAGAAAGAAGGCGTAACTTTTATTCTCGCTGTAGTATTGTTGCCGCCGCCGCCATGTCGTGAAGGCGCTGTGTTTCGTTGAGAAAGCAAAACTAGTTTGTTTGGCCTTCCAAAAGAGGACGATATCTGCTAGAGTTCAAGTTTCAACTCAGAGTTGGTTGAACCTCCTTATTGAAACGGGCCCCTGGGTAGATTAAGATTATACAAATTGTAGTCCGTTACTGATCCCAAATTACATGACAAAAATTGTAGTTAGTAACGTAATCCATTACACATTTCAGGTAATATAATCAGACTACTTTTTGATTAAATAAAGAATAACCTGAATTTGTGCATGTTAATGTGTTTGAAAGACAAAAGTCTTCCAAAGACTGACTAAGCCACCTGACTAATGACTGGTCTTTGTGTAAATGTCCACAAAACGGAAGACTTTCTGAGTGTATATAAGTGGTAGGCTATTTTACAAAGGAAGATTTAAAAGATGGAAAAGAGGAATTAGGGAGAATCAATAAATTATGAGTAATTTATTTGCTATTGTGATACTTAGGACCATGTGATATTTCAGTGTTTCTTTTTTAATAAATCTGCAAAAATGTCAACAATTCTGTGTTTTTCTGTCAATATGGGGTGCTGTGTGTACATTAATGAGGAAAAAAAATTAACTTAAATGATTTTAGCAAATGGCTGCAATATAACAAAGAGTGAAAAATTGAAGGGGGTCTGAATACTTTCCGTACCCACTGTATATATATATATATATAGTTTATAAAAATGGAATATAAATGGTTTCATAAGTGGTTTCATAAATTGATAGGCCACTTTCATACAATAAGTATGGAATCAGCTGACTGAAATGCATAAAATTAGTTTTGTAGACAAATATAAATCTTGCCTATAGTTTGGAGAGTAAATGAAAAGCACAAATTATTTTTTATATGACGTGCTGGCCCTATCTGCTATCATAGCTAAATAATCTGAAAAAGTTGCCAGCAAATTGAATTTTCTCACATAAACATGTTTATTGTGGTTATATGTCTTTTTTTTTTTACTGTATTTGTGAACAAATGACCATAATTGTGTAGAATCATATTAACATACGTTAACTTTGAACTTACTATTCAGACAAAAACAAAGATGAACTAAAATATAATAAATAATGGGAATTATAATATATAACAGAAGTGTAATAGTTACAGTAGTCTGATGATGTCAAGCTTAATTTTAGACTGATTCACAGAGCCTGTAAGCATAAAGCATGTTGTGCCAAAGGTTTAGTTGCTAGTAAACCTTTCACATTAATAGCTGTAAAGCTACTCAGTACTGGACCACTGGAATGCGCATCTGTGGTAAGAACTGAAGAATTCTCGCTGAGTATTATGGCTGTCTCTGCGATAGAAGACTTTAAAACATGTTCATCATTCTGATGCTTAATCGTATTGACAAATGTATGAGCTTTATGCCCTTCAATCAGCTGATGGCATTCAGTGACAGAGCTATAGTTAATGTCTGTAGGAAATGTTGACTCCAAGATGGTTTCCTCTTCTTCATCATCAGTGTCCAAAAGCTCCATGTCAAACCAATTTGGATTCTTCAGCTGGTAATTTTTAAAAGCTTCAATAGCATCCCGAAGCCCTTGTCCTGATGGACAGCAGATGTAATCATTCTCCCTAATGCCTTCAATGCACTTAATCTGTCCTGGCTCATGTTTTTCCATGTCTAGGATTCGGAAGTAAAGTTCTTCAAAGTGCTTCATGAGTTTGTACTTCACCACGACGTTAAAAGGTGCCGGAACGTCATCCTCACTGCACACATCATCAAAATAAGCCACCATGTACTTGTGGAAAGATGAAGCATGAACAAAATCCGGTATAATGAGGCTCAGAGCTGGCGTGAGCATGTCTCCTATGGGTGAACGTTCATCCTCCTTCAGTCTCACTTTGTGCTCACCACACATGGCCTTCCACTTGGCATGTACGCCTGGAGAGCACAAAATCAGGACTTTATCTGAGGACTTGGAGATTCGCTCCCTTTGCATATCCAGCCACTGAATTCTGCCGATTGTGCTGAGCCAGGCAGAGTCCAGGAGATCCAGAGTGATGTCTGTGCCACATTTAGCCCTCATGAAGGCACATAACTTTAAGATGATTTCTTTGTACAGGGGGTGGTCCAGAGAATAAATGATGATGACCCTCTTAGGCTCTTGAATGGGATTCCACTCCAGTTTACCCTTTGCACATGTTGAGCTGTCTGAGGAGGGCGTTTCTGTCAAAACTCATGATTATTATTAAGACACAAAAGCTTTGAAACCTTAAAAACGTATTGAAATAATAAAGAGTGAGTGAAAGATTCAGCAAAACAATTGAAAAGTCAGTTTATGAAAAGTTTTATATTGATTGATATATTGAAACTGTGGTTGTGAACTTGTTTCATACCTACTGCTGTTTCTGGGTCAGTGGCAGTGCGAACGCAGATTTCAATGTTACAGTGTGATCAGTTGTACTTGTCAAAGGTTTAATATTTTAGTGGAATCATTGTCATTTAGGAATAAGATTGTGTGGGTGATTGAATCGAGATTGCGATCTGGCTATTTAAACAAAGCTGCATTTAGTGGAATGAACAAGGCAGGGCTGTATATTAACTTTTTTTGCATATAGCACTGGTGCTACAGAGGTTGAGAGGTTTGTAGCACAGGCCACACAATTGTAGCACAAGAATAAAACATATTACCATCTCTGAAAACAACCACATGTATTGCAGTTCATTACTTAAACAGGACATAATGTTCTAAAATTATTACAATATAAAAACATTAAACAAAATAAGAAATATCACTATTGTAATAACACTCCTGGGAAGTTAGTATTTTTACGAGGTGGGAAGTTGTAGTTCAAATAAGACGGCAATGCACCTTTTCTGCATTAAATTGAACTAGATTTTTTTTTTATCTACTTCTACAAAATGATGAATAAAGAATTTGGGCATTGGGTGTGTTTTTGCTTTTCTTTTCTTTTTATTTTATTAAATTTATGAAGGTGCTGTAAATTTAATTCTTATAGCCTATATTTTATCGTAATTGTATAATACTATTATATGTTGTACATGCAACTTTTTGCGTTTATTGTAAAATAATAGTATTATTGTAAATGAAAAAAAAAATCAATTATTTAAAAAAAATGCATCCATTTCGTCTGCCAGATATTCTCACAGACTCCCAACTGGGAAACTCAGGGCTTATTGTTTCTTGCATTTTTAAACACAAAACACGATCTGTGTCAATCAATCCTAATGGACTATTTTTCATAGTGGAAGCATTCAGATACAATTTCTCAAATCCGTATTTCATGTGCACATATTGTTTAATTTGGTTAGTAGTCCTGATTGTATCTGATTACTTGCATAAAAAATATAGTGTTTTGAATCATGAAAGTCCATTCCAGTCAGTATATCTGCCTCCACTTTTGAGAGAAATCCAATCAACAACTGATGCCTACAATCAAGTCTCCACCCTACTTTTTTTTTTACTGTGTTTCATCACCTTAAGTTATGTGTTTATTTAATTGGTTGATTTATTTGCACTGACCTTTATGTGAATCCTTGTTCTTCAAAAATATAATACAGCCAAAAACGCAAACAGCAGCTGCCAGTACAGCCAACAACAGCACCAGTGTCACCAAAATAATAAAAACAACAGGAGCACCTGGAAGAACTGACATTAACATGTTAATAAAGATAATGGTCTACTCAAATAAAATAAACTAGAGGCCAAATGAACTTCAGTTGAGTTCAAGGCCAAACATTGAAACAATTGCATTGCTGTGAATCATAGTTTGAATGCTGGCTAATTAAAAACAGACAGGCAATAAGACATTCAGTGTTAATATGAAATACATACAGGGACAGATATCAACTTTCCCTCTGTATTCCAGACAGTTATTCATGCTCTGAACCGACAGTGGCTGAATCTGTTGAACAAGGCATCTTTTAGTCATTTAGTGATATAAGACAATTAACAATTATTACCATAACATCCTCATACAACTGAATATTATTAACAAACAGTACTCACATATAAATGGTACTGCAAAGGTGATGATACATGGGGCAACTTTTTTGAGCAAAGTTGCTTGTGCACTTTTTCATTGAGAATGGGCAACAAACTTCTGTCTGGGTACTTTAGATCAGTCGTGGGCCCTGTGTCTCACCTGGTTGCCCGTTCATTGATGGCAACATTGCCCAGCAACATTGCTTGTGCACTTTTTCATTGAGAATGGGCAACAAACTTCTGTCTGGGTACTTTAGATCGGTCGTGGGCCCTGTGTCTCACCTGGTTGCCCGTTCATTGATGGCAGCATTGCCCAGCAACATTGCTCAAAAAGTTGCTCTGTGTATCGTAGGCTTAACTCACCACCAATTCCAAAAAACAGTGATTTATCCGCCATGCTTCCAGCGTGAAATTAACCCTCAGAAATGGGGGTTTATTATCCTTTAACACAGAATTAATTTAGCATTCATGCTCATAATATTGCTTCCTATGCTTGATTCTATGTATGAATATACACTTATGATGGAACGTACAACAGGTGGCAGTGTGGAGTATACCGCATCTGGGTGAAGGTCAGGACTGCAGATGGAGACTTTGTATTGGTCAGAGAACTCTTCTGGTTCAAATTCTATGGTTATCACCAAGTCACCATTTTCTTTATATTTTGGCACTGACCATTTTACCTTCGTATCCCAAATGCGCTCTAAAATGACAAACAGGTTTACCTAACAGGAGTACACTTTTTAAGAATTGGACACCACTTTACAAGCATACATCACTTCAGAATTATCCCAATAGGACATAATGAAAATTTTCTATGTTTAATATCATGCTTAAAGCATGTTAAAGCATTTGCTCCAGATAACTTGATGGATTAAATGTCTGCTACATATCTAATCATCAAACCTCAACTGTTTTATAAAGATTATGCCATTTATTAATTCTTACCTGGAACTGTGATGTTGGTTATCATTGGACAGTTCCCTTTGTCTGACTTTGGTAAATTGGTTACAAAAACCTGGTATTTAAAGTTGGGAATGACCACAATTCTGTCCAAAGAAAATGTCCACTGGAAAGATGAAGGAAAGAGACAAGTAGGGGGGGTTGTAAATAAAACAAAGATTATTGGAGTACGTTTTTCAAGAATATACTTCAGTCTTTCTACTTCAAAATGTCATTTTTAATTCAGTGTGTTACTTGATATTTTTTGTATTTGTGAGTGATAATTGTCTCAAAGCACACTTTTTCATATATATAATTATATAAACATTAATACTCTTACCCTGCCCTGTACTGTTTTTTTTGTCCTCAGTGTGTTACAAAAAATGTAACGAACACAAACACTGTGATTTGTGGACATTTCAACCACACGCACTTCAGTCCCTTTGAGGGTGAATACACTACCTGAGGAAAATAATTTAATAAAAAAATTTAAAAAAACAATGCTTTAAAGGGGTCATACGATGCTGCTAAAAAGAACATTATTTTGTGTATTTGGTGTAATGAAATGTGCTTATGCGGTTTAAAAACACATTATTTTCCACATACTGTACATTATTGTTTCTCCTCTATGCCCCGCCTTTTTGAAACGCGTCGATTTTTAC